TCAATTATTTGCCTTCTTCCTAATTGGGAGTCTTCAATCCTTTAAACCCCCTCACCAACACAACTCAGCCTGCCTGAGGCTACGTTATATAGAACAAACAGCTCTGCCCTCTCTATGTCCTCTATTTCATATTCATCAATAGTTATTTTTTTCAATATTTTTTGGTTCGATTCCTCCACCCCTTCGGAGAGCCCAGCAAGCTACCGAAAGTATTCCGCCTGCACGGCAAAGCCTGGAAAGCTATCCGTAATCTATTTGATATGCCAAAAGCAATAACAACAAGTCTCACAATGGAGGTGTTACTGGTGCCCGCTCGAGCAAATTGATGAACAAGGGAGGACAATGCTACAGTGCTATCCTAAAGTATGAGTCTCATAGGATAATGAATTACTTAAATTTGCTTAATGACAGGGCAAGTCCACTCCTACAAGTGTTGGCTGACACCGTTTATAAAATTTCCTGGCTTTCATGAAATTGATTCATTTTATTCTTTCCTCAGGAGCTCAGGGGTCTTCTTTCTCATGGGAGCTACATGTTTTCTTCTAGCTGGATCTCTTCTGCCCTTGCTCTTCTCTTTGGTTTCCCAAATTTCTCACTGATCAAAATGTGGCTATCTCCTCCTCCCCTCCTTCAGTGGTTCTCTGCTTTTTTCTCTCAGTTTTTTTTTTGCTTTTTTTTTGGGGGGGGGGTGTCACACCCGGTGATGCTCAGGGGTTACTCCTGGTTCTGCACTCAGCAATTACTCCTGGCGGTGCTCAGGGGACCACATGGTATGCTGGGAATTGAACCTGGGTCAGCCACATGCAAGGCAAATGCCCTACCCTCTGTACTATTGCTCCAGCCCCTCTTCTCTCAGTTTTGTGTGCCCTGTCTGACCCAGTTCCCATGAGAATGGGGTTCACAATGCTGAGAGCTGTATGCTGGTCTGACTGGAATATCAAGATTTCTCTGTGAAAATCATGACATGTAAAAGGCTTTGTAGGGTAATAGTTTTCCCCCCCCAACGGTGCCCAGGCACATTGTACACCAGATCCAGGCAGACATGAGGCAAAGGATAATGTGTGTGCAGAAGAACACCCTCCCGGAGCAACTGATGGCTGTTCACTTTATTGTCAAATAAACACATATTTTATAGGGGGTCTCAGCTAAAGAGGATGGTCCAATCACAGAAGGCTTAACATTATTGGCTTATCACTTCTCCAATTCTGCTTTGCCCCAACCCAATCCCAATCAAGACTAGATGCTGCAGTTAGGATGACTTGCTAAGCATATGTGACAGTTCCTGTGTCTACGGCTCATGTGACTAGGAGGTTGAGTGAGGCTGACACCCTGTTCTTGCCAACTTTGCCCAGACACTCCCTCTTGCAAGGCTTTGCTTCTGGGCTGCTTTGCAAGATCAGGTCTTATCTGCACCAGTGTCTGTCACCATACTCCACAGGCTGAGCCTCAGCACCCACAGTCTGAATGGGCCACTAGGACAATAATAGTTGGAAATGATCACTCTACTGGGTTTTTATGGAAATAACCTAGAGGTCTTTTTTCCCCCAAAAGTGCCTCAGTAAGGAGTAAATAACTGAATTCCACCAGGAGTGATCTCTGAGAGCACACAGACAAGAGTAAGCCTTGAGTTCTGATGAGTGTGGTCCAGAAAACAAAAAAGTTCTAAGTTTTTAAAATGGGCTGGAGTGATGGCACAGCACGTGGCCGACCTGGGTTCGATTCCTCCATCCTTCTCGGAGAGCCTGGCAAGCTACCAAGAGTATCCCGCCTGCACAGCAGAGACTGGCAGGCTCCCTGTGGTGTATTTAATATGCCAAAAACAATAACAACAAGTCTCACAATGGAGACATTACTGGTGCCTGCTCGAGCAAATCGATGAACAATGGGAGGACAGTGCTACAGTACTACAGATAAGAATTGCATACTGAAAGTGGTACAGGAACAAATATGACAACCTCTGAGTACCCACATCGCAAACCATAAGACTCAAAAGTAAAGAGAAGGATTGAGAAAGAAGAAATGTGCCTGCCATAAAGGCAGGCTACAATATGGGTGTCGTGATGGGAGGGAAACTGGGGACATTGGTGCTGGGAAATGTGCACTGGTGAAGGGATGGGTGTTGGATCATTGTATGACTGAAACACAACCATGAACAACTTTAGAACTGTGTATGTCACGGTGATTCAATAAAATAAAATTTAAATTTAGTGCCAAGGGTCACTGAAATTGATACCAGAATCATTCAAATGCCCCTTAAAGTCCCATGCTCAGAACTTCTCAGAAATTGTGTTTGCACTAAGATTAATTAATCTAAGAGCCTTGGGATAATAAGAACTGTCCTCCTGTTGTTCATCTATTTGCTTGAGTGGGCACCAGTAACGTCTCCATTGTGAGACTTGTTGTTACTGTGTTTGACTTATTGAATACATCATGGGTAGCTTGCCAGGCTTTGCCGTGCAGGAGAGATGTTCTCAGTAGCTTGCCGGGCTCTCTGAGAGGGGTGGAGGAACCGAACCCAGGTCAGCTGGATTGGCCGTGTGCAAGGCAAACCCCCTACCTGCTGTGCTATTGCTCAAGATCATCCTGGATTTAGGGTGAACATCACAGGAGATAATTAGTGTCATATAAGAGAAAAGAACGGAGATTTAACACGTGGACACAGAGACCAGGGTCATAGAAAGAAGAAGCAGAAATTGCAGTTAGGAAGCCCCAAGCCAAGGGTCACTAAAGTTGATACCAGAATTGTCCAAACCAAGAAGAGGTATCACATATTCTCCACCCAAGACTCCAGAGGGAAACCATTCTGCCTAACCCTTTAGTTTAAACTTCTGGTCTCCAGAATGGGGGGAAAAATTGATTTCATTTGTTTGAAGCCATCCTGGTAGTTTGCCAAAGCATTTCTAGAAGACAAAAGATAGGGGCTTTCTGGGGGAAATGACCAGGAGTAGACATCAGAAGAATGGAAAGAGCCATGGAGAAGATATTGAAGGAAGAAGAGTTAGCTTGCCGGGAGACTCAGACCAAGCCTAAGTGATTGAACAGTAGGCCTTCAAGGCAGACAATAAGAGTCTGGATTACTGACAAATTCATCTGTCCTCATAAGGATCAAGGTCTTTGCCCAGGGAACCCTGAGAAATCATTGTGATGTTTTAGCACTACAGAAGCTGAGAAGCTAGAGTGTGGAGAAAAGCTAATGGGGATCGGGGATAGATTTAGGGCATCATTCAAGAGACAGAAGTGCAAAGAGTTGATGGTCAATGCTGATTGAGCAAGCTAGATCCATCTGAACAGGTGACATTTTGTGGTTTTTGTATTTGTTCGATATTCTTTTAGGATTTTTGGGGGGGTGGGAGGGTCACACCTGGCAGTGCTCAGGGATTACTCCTGGCACTGCAGTCAAGAATCAATTCTGGTGATGCTCAGGTGACTATATGGGATGCCAAGGATTGAACCCGGGTCAGCCATATGCAAGGCAAACACCCTACCTGCTGTACTATAGCTCTGGCCCTGACATTTTGTGTGTTTTAGTCCTTATCATAGGGGCCAGAGAAATAATACAGTAAATTAGTGTTTGTCTTGAACATAACCAACCCAGTTCAATCCTAGTACTACCTATAATCCTCTAAGCACTTCCAGGAATGATCCCTGAGCACAAAGTCAGAAGTAGATCCTGAACATTACTGTGTGTGACCCTGAAATAAAAAATAAAATAATCCCAATTATAAACCAAAGTAACATGTACCCATAACCAACCCGTTCTCCATTTTACAAATGAGAACTCCAAGACACAAAAAGATGAACTTTCTAAGGCTCACATTGACCGTCAATGGCAGAACTCAGGTTTGAGTGCACGGAACTCACTTTCTTTATCATCTTCTAAATTTGAGCTCACCTTCTAAATCATTAGCAGGAACTAGAGGACTGTAAAGTGGGAGGTGGATGGATGGGATCCAGAAATGCTGTTTTGAAATGTGGGTGGAATTGATGTAGGCTCAGTACACGAGAGACCATTGCAGAAAGGGGGGGGGGGGGGACCGTGAAGACAACAGAGAGGGCGAGATGATTTGCATCTTCTTGTTGTAGTCAGGTCAACTGCCCGGAGCAGGGATTGGGGTTGCTGTACATATTAACTTCAAGAAAACAAGCTACAGAAATGGTCCCTGGGAAAGCTAACCAGTCTTGATGCCTTGCCAACTTTCATAAAATGCACGAACCAATGCAGGTTGTGAAGAAAAGGAAAACAAGAGTGGATTGAGAATCAGGGGAAGGAAGACAAGGATAATGGGTAGCCCCTTCTCTTTTTTCACGGAAACCTCTCTTTCTCTTTTTCTCTTTTTATTTCATTTTATTTATTTATTTTTTTGCTATTTTTTCTTTTCTCCATTATGTGTCACTTACGAAAAGAGCCGGGAGATTTATGGGGCTAGAGACATTGCATCAGGAAGCCCGGGAGCAACCCTTACACTCCAATAAATCACAACGCTCAAGTCATTTGAGCTGCCAGAGAACTTCCAGCCCGGGTCTACTAGGGGGTATGTCTGTACTTGCGTGTCAGCCACTTCCTGAGATTTATTCACAACCTTGCTCTCCTGAAAGTCTTTCCTGTGCTCCTGGGACCAAGAGCTCAGTAAAAGCTTCAAGGAGGAAAAGAAAGGAGCGGCCACAGGACTGGTCAGGATCAACTCCTAGGACTGAAGTGTCTCCCCTAGAGCAGTATTTAGTGCCAAATGTCTGGAAGGAACCACTACGTTTATTTCTTCCAATCTCTGTTTGCAGTTATGGAAGAGAAGAATCGTTGAAAAAGGAGAAGAATTTTCTATGATCTCTCAATGTAAGAAAGGAGCAATCTGCTCTCTGATCCAATAAGACAGTGGGACAATCACAGCAAAAATTCTGATTGAGATCCTTGAGGTCGACCATGGAATTTCTCTATGCGAAACTGCGATGCTTAGGTACTTTGCAGAATTATAAATTATATTTGGATGCCTTTTGTTTTTCCCCCAGAGACAGTGTGAATGCAGTCCCCCACTGCCACAAATTATGCAGTCAAGATTCCCACATTTGGGAAATTGCAGGGGTTAGCACTTCCAGAGTGCGATGGAGAAACCTTGCCCTAGGAAAACCACCTTTTTAAATTATGGTATCTCCTCTCCAGGTCAGTATTTTGAATTTTAAATAATTCAAATATCTTCCTGATAGGAAGAGACTTTCCAGAGGTCATGTACTTTTCTTTCTTTTTCTTTTTTGACTTTTAAGCTCATACCCAGCAATGCTCAATGATAATTACTCCTGACTCTGCACTTAGGAATCACACTTGGTGATCCTCAGGGGACCATATGGGATCCCGGGATTGAACCTAGGTCAACCACATTCAGAACAATGCTCCACCCACTGTGATATCACTCTGGCCCCTCATCTACTTCTTTTAAACTTTAATAGTTGATATGTAACGGGAACCGAGAGTCCAATAAATGAGTGTATGGATGCTAGATCAATGTATTGCAAAGTGGATGACACCACCCATCCCACCCCTATCCAGGAGGCATTGGAACTATCTAGAGTGCCAATAGTAGTCTTAGCTGCAATTGGGGGGCATTTTCATTTGTTCCCTTTAAGAGGGTAGATTGTCAAGTACACTAAGTGATTATTTTTTCCTGAAGAGGGGACAGTAACAAATAAGTAAATAAGTTTAGGAATCTCTGGGATGGAAGGATAAATGGATGAACTTTGGTGGGTGTGTGGGTGTATGTGTGGATGGATGGATGGATGGATGGATGAATGGATGGATGGGTGCATGGATGGATGGATGGATGGATGGATGGATGGATGAATGGATGGGTGTATGGATGGATGGATGGATGGATGGATGGATGGATGGATAAACGTGATGGATTGAAGTAAAAGTTTTCTTTATCCTATATCTTTCTCAAAATGTAATTTGCCTTTAGTATTCATTTAGCACTTTTAAATGTGCTGGGGATTGCCTAGGATTGAGAAAATTTTAAAATCAGATGAACTTCCTTTGAACACCTTTGAACACACTTTTCCTTGTTACGTTACTCTCTAGAGCTGAACTTCTATCCTCCTCCCACTAGAGTGGAAACTTCCCACTTTGCCACATCACCTGTTTTTCATCAGCACTTATTTTTTTTTTCTGCCTCTCTTCTCTCGACATTTCATTATTTCTTCCACAAAGATAAACAGAATAACCCTCAGCATTTCACTCATTTCCAATGCCTAGCTGTGAAAACTGAGGGTCACTTTAGACTTGGTTGAAATATGCTGTGATTGAATCTACTTGCTGGGGGCTTATGAGAAAGATCACTGGGGTGGAGCTCATAATTGTGCAGGGGAGGCCCTATTCAATCCCCTGCACTGCAGAGATCCCTTGGTATCACTAGGAGGGATCCCAAAGCACAGAATTTGGAGTTGCCGGTACCAAGCACTGCTGTGTGTGATTCCCCCAAAAACCAAGACATAAAATAAATCTACTTGCACACAGTCCATCTCTATTTTCTCTTTCTGATCTATTAATATTGTTCCCTTATCTCTCTTCTCCATTCCTGAATTGTTTAGTGTGGCACCAATGACATTCTTCCTTTTTTTTTTGGTAGGTCCTATATGACATTCCCCATACACTCACAACCACTCACATGTCTGCATACAAGGACTCAGACACATTTTCACACACACACTCAGACTTATGCCCACCCACATTCCCATTTTCTTCTCCTCGCCTCAGATTCACCACTTTCAAATCAGGTTTTCAGGGTTATGGTGCCATGTAGATGAGACAATATAAATACACACTAGTGTTTATTAAGCATTTAATATCAGTGAGCATCCTGCGCCCTGCAGCTTCAAGAGCATGCCATCTATTTCCCACTTTAGTCCTTGAAAATAGGTATCTTTTACCTTCATTTTGTAAACGAAAACCCAGGGGCAGTAGAGCAGTTAAATAAGCCTATGGCCCTACAGCTAATAGATTCTGAATTTAAGCCCCTCCCCTCTCTCTGGAGAGCCATTGCACTCAATTACTGAAGAGTTCTAATGGTATATTACATAAATCAACCTGCCTGGCGCCATTAGGTGCTCATTTAATATTTTCACTTATATGCTCTCCAGAAATAGGACTGATGTGAACATTTAGAATGTTGCTAAATTAAATAGCGTTAGGGTTGAAATCCCAACATTTTGTCCAAGTTGAATGAGCTCTCTTGCCAAATCTCTTGCTGAGAACAATTCTAAAGACAGAATAAGCAACAGCAACCATGAAGACAGTCCTTTAAAGGCATTAGAGAATGATGGAGATGGTAAGAAAGAAAGTCCTGATTTATTTGCCATGTGAGTCGGGTGGGGACTGAAATAGGCCCAGTTGTCAGCAGTCAGAAGGGACTGGAGAGAAAACAATTAAAGTTTACTGCTTTGAAGTCAGCCAGGACACAGGGAGCCACTAGCCTGTCAGCATTCTTCAAAGCTTTCTTGTATCAAGAAATGGATTGAATTTGTACCCAAAGGCCTTAGCACTGCCCACTGTGATTCTAGCTCAGGGCTGATTTGTCATCCACCAAAACATCTGGAGACTTGGAGGAAGAATTGTCTTCCTTTACCCTTGGCTATCCCAGTAATTTTGTTCCATAGCTCTCTAATCTGCTATTCTTCTCCATCTTCAGTGTCTTGAGTTGCTCCCATATTCATGCATGGTCTTCCAGATTACTAAGGCATCTACCTGCCTGGGGCTGTCCCTGTGCTAATTTGCACCAAATGATTTATCTTCTTATAACATGTACCTGCTCAGTCTATTCCCTGGAATAAAACCTATCCATAGCTCTCCACCAATAAATCTCAGTTTGTTAGAATTACCCCAAAAGTCTATATGCATCCTAATCCCTATATCTATATTATCCCCTCTTTTTAAACGTTCCCAACTGGGCTGGAGCGAAAGTACAGTGGGTAGGGCATTTGCTATGTATGTGGCTGACCTGGGCTCCATCCTCAGCATCCCATATGGTCCCCCAAGCACCGCCAGGAGTAATTCCTGAGTGCAGAGTCAGAAGTAACCCCTGAGCATCTCTGAGTGTTACTCAAAAACAAAGGCCAAAAAAAAAAACCCTCTGTACCCTTATTTCAAGTGATTGCCTAGTTGTGGTCTGTCTTGATGTTAAATAATCAAATCTCCTTGCTTTTTTGTCTAAAGAAGTTTTAGTACAATTGATTAATCACAACAATCATAATACCACCAGGAACTCTGACATCACCTGCTGAATCAACAACCCTCTTATGATATAACCTGTTAACCATCTTCATTCTTCTAGAGTAGTATCTTCATTTAACAAGGGCATTGGGCAATGGATGCTTCTGCAGACATCTCTTTTTTGACTTAAGGAAGCTTTTTCTTTCTTTCTTTCTTTCTTTCTTTCTTTCTTTCTTTCTTTCTGTCTTTCTTTCTTTCTGTCTTTCTTTCTTTCTGTGTTCTTCTTCTGGGAAGTCCCAGTAAGTACTCTGATCACTCTGGTTTGGTTCAACATGCCCGTGGAATTGCTTGGGAATAAAAATACTATTGATTTTGCCCAAACAAAGTCATATGCTCACCGCTGGCCTGGGAAAGAGATGAAGTCAATAAAAGAATGGTTTGTCTCCCTTCAGACCATAAGACGAGAGACAAAAAAACAATAACATGAGGAAGAACAGTTCCCTTGGGTGCCATAGTCAGAGTTGCTGGGGGCATCTTTGGTGCTACTAAGGTAAGTTGAATTGTATCAATGAAAAAAGGTTCAAGAGGTAGACTGGGAAAAGTGTGAAAGGAAGGGGTTTTAATTTAGCTATTGCTGCATAAAAAAAAAGAAGAAAAAAGAAAAAAAGAAAAAAAACCCTCCAGGCAGAGGAACTTAAAATCGCACCACTTAGCACAAAATTCTGCAGAATTGCAATTGTTTCTGGATCAGTGGATGGTTTTTCTGGCCATGGCTGGGCACATTACCGATTGTGCCAGTTATAGAGTCATCTGCCAATCAATGAGTGGCTCTGCTCTGGGGAGGTCAGGTTTTGAGTGGTTCAGGAACTCCAGAGACAAGAGAGCTAGCTAACCTGGGCTTCTGACTTAGCTGCTCAGCAGGGTCCCAGACTTAGTCCACCTAACTTCAAAATCAAGTTCTGGTGTCATTATCTTCTGAGAAAGCTGATGGTAGGGAATACAGGTGCCTCAGTTCTATGAAACCCCATTGCAGAAAGCATATTTGATTTTCAATCAACTTTTTCTTGTAACTGATGTAGCCAGATAGACAGGGAAAGTCCTCGGTAATGAAACTTAGGTTAATAAAACTTCTGGGAGGAAAATTCTAAGACTGATCCACCCTTTGGAAAACAGAGATCTGATAAGACCTTCAGGGTGGAACCTGAGGAGATTTGAACCCCTCTTAATGAAGTTCCTCAAACCCTTGGACCTCTCCCTTAATCTGATTAAAATGTGATCCAGACCTTAGAAGACTCCAGAACTTTCGGATAAAGACAACCTATAAAGGTAAAGGTAAAGGTAAAGGCCCTCCCGGTGTTCGTCGATTTGCTCAAGCGGGCCCAGTAACGTCTCCATTGGAGACTTTGTTGTTACTGTGTCTGGCATATCGAATACTCTCGGTAGCTTGCCGGGCTCTCTGAGAGGGGCGGAGGAATCGAACTCGGGTCGGCCATGTTGGCTGCGTGCAAGGCAGACGCCCTATAAAAGAACCTATAAAAGACACCTTGAACAAAGGAGGGCATGCATGTTGCTGCCCAAGCCTATGTGCTGCTTGCACACAGGTGGCAGAACTCATGGGTCGCCCACATCTCTCCTCTTGAGATGTGTACTTTCATGCTTTCATGTCTAATGCTGGGATGTATATAGGGGCTCTCTCCGCCCTTGGAGAAGCTCCCTTCTCTCTCTCTCTCTCTCTTTCTCACTCTCTCTCTCTCTTTCTCTCTCCTTCCCCTCCACATCCTTAAAAATCTTCCAGATGGATGGGTATCTGATCATTGTATAATTGAAACCCAAGCACAAAAAATTGTAAATCTACAACTGTACCTCATGATGTTTCACTAATAAAAATTAAAAAAAAAGGAAATGGAAAAAAAAATCTTCCAAATAAAATCGATTTTACTTCACTGCTTGTCTACTCCTGAAATTCTTT